GTGATACAACATACATGGATTTCAAAGTTATTAGAACTTAGAAGAAGAATGCAAGTCCTTTGGGTCATAGATTTAGTTTCATATCTTTGTCTAATATAATGATATTATACAGGTAATAAATATAATTTTCGAACTGGATGACTAAATCTAGTAGCCAAGTTTCAACTAAATCAATGACCCGAAGGACTTGCACTCTCCTTGTTAGAAAATGTTTTCTGAACGCAATCCAACTGTTCTGGCGTGTCCTGCCATCTCTTAGGACACGAGAGAAATTTTTGTGAATAAAATCCCTGCATTATTCTACCCTCTGTCAAAAAGATTGCGAGGCTATACATTTCATGTGTCTATGTGCACCTCATAAATCTGAATTTAGACAGCCCTAAATGTAACCTTCTATTCGTACATTTTCTAAATATTTGTTGCCTAGGACAATACATAAAGTGTTAAATTTATAATGTAAAATAATAAATAAAGAAACTTGTTTGGTGGTATTTTCTTAGCATAAACAAATAAAATATTTAGCAACTTCTGAACTTGTATATTCAGGTAAGCTCATAACGCATGGCATTACATTTCGATTAAATTTCTACTAGATTGAAACGAAAATAAAATTTCTGAAACCAATTCAGGACATTAGCTACCATCTTCGTAACTCAGGAGCGAAAGAGTTGAAACAAGTGCTGCCAATTCTGATCAGCTCTTTTGGCAGAGAATTGCAAGCGCAATTGCGATGATCGGTTTTCCTAACCTTTCCAAAAGACTTGGCCCCGAATGCTAAACACTGCGCATGCGCAATGCTTCCATCTTTGATTTTCCGTGTCGCTTACACCGCAACGAAAGCGTTAAAGCGTAATTTCGCGACGCGAGGATGAATAGGTGTAATATATAGTTGCTCTTCTCTCGAGGCACCGAATAATCGTGGAAAAATCCTGACCGATTTGGTAACGCGTGGCTGTGATATACGACGGAAAAGCCCCGGCCGCCATTACGGTGCGGCGATTTATTTATCGACATAGATCCCTTAAACGGTTCGATGACCGAGCGATCGTATCGCCGCTCCTGACAAATTATAAATCGTAACGAGCCGATGAAAGATCCGCGGCGCCTACACGCGGAAGGAGTGGGACGCGTACACGCGCGTTCCGCCGCGGAGAAACGCAAAGCAGGCTCATTAAGATCGGCACACCGGCAGCCATAAACGAGTACGCTCCGTTTTACCTACGTCTCACGTGGGCGTTTCTGCTGTTCCCCGCTCCGAAATGCGATTTTCGAGACGGGGCAGTAGCAATCGTCTAAGCTCCGCGATTATCGCGTGTACAGCGCGTTCGGGGAAAGAAGGCACAGCGTGTTTGCATCCTCGGTAAGGCAGTAAGTGTCACAGTTGTCGAGTTGTTGAGATAATTAGTCTAGTTACGGTCATAGTCACCTAGTAAAGTCTAGTCAGAGATTCTCTAGTAGCGAACCCACCATCCACCTTGATCCCCTACAATAATAATAATAATTCGCGAATAGGGTACACGTCCGTTCCAAAAACAACTAAGTCTTCCTCAAACAGGAAAAGTCAGTAGGCTCTTTAACCCTTTGTGGCCGGGACGGTTCGAAGTTGACAGTGACACGGAGTCTAGTTGCTGCCACGATAGGTATTTCTAAGTGGCAGTGCACATTTCGTTGACAGCACTCCAAGATGTCGAATTCTAGTGAACATATGGCCATAGTGATGCACTTACGCGAGACACATATTACGTGATACCACTTATTATGTGACCATAGCGATGCGATTACGTCTATCAGTTGTTTTCGTCAAACGCAAACGGTTAACTCCACTGACACCACCATCGTGACAGTCAGTGACAGCTACTAGCCAAAGATGGCGAGGAAGATCATCGGTCACCGTTTTCAGCGATCAAGGGAGAATCAGTGGAGCTAATCGGTGTGACGAGGGTGTAAAAGTGTGCCTTCTTTCTCCGAACGCGCAATAGCAGCTGTTGCACGGCGACCGCCATTTCGCTCTCAACGTTAACCTCCCGACCCGGTTCTCGCGTCTGTATCCAACCGTATGAAACCGAGTTGCCGAGGATAACTCGTGGAAAAATCAACCCTTAGCGAGGCCGATGGGACCGAGTCGCTGTATGCCCACGCGAAGCGCGCGGAACAATGGGATAACGTCGAAGCACAATTATGGTAGCAACCGAATGCGATTCGCCCACTTGACTGCGTTCCATACACCTCGCTCACTTTTCGCCCGTTTGTCGCTTTCAGCCTTCGTTGTTTATCGCCGTTGATCGCTATTAACGCGCCATTATCGACATTTAGCGTTTCTTCAGACGCGGATCGTTCATTGGCAGTTTGTCACGCGATAATGCACACACGCGGGTACAAAGAAGTCGAGAGTTGCAGAGGACTAGGTCCAACAGGGCTAACAGAGAGGGAAAAATCAGTGTCCTGGGAAATATGTCGAATTCTCTCGTCGATCAGTTAAACGTGCCCACTGTCATTCTTCAGAGGAACCACGACGAGTACCCCGATTGTTTCGCCCGGCGATTCGAAACGCGTTACAGACGCCGAAGCTGGAATTGTTTCGTAGGAAAGCCGGGTTCGATAACGGACGTCGCTGAATTAGAACGCGAGAGAGGAATCGAGGATACGGAGGAAGACGCGATAACTATTCCATCACCGATTTCAATATTTTAGGCCCGATCTAACTCTCCGCGGGGCTAATTTACTTTTGCAACATCGACTTTTCCGCCGCGGCCGCCATCAATCTCCATTACAGCTTCCGACAGCCATCGCTCTCGGGCACACCCCTTCTGCATTCGCCCTTAAGCACGTAATATCGTTACCCATTTTTGCATCCACCGTCGACACGCTTCGGCCTTCGAAAAACGTTCGAGAGAGAGGAAAACGTACGATGACAATCGAAAATCAACAGTCTAGATCTCCCTCGGCCGATAAAACAGTTGCCCAGTTTCCAGGAAGCCCGGGGACTGGTCGCGACAGGTCTAAACGCGGTCATGACAGACTTTAGGTGATTCTCGCGATTCTCGCGATACTCGGTGTTCGTCGACGAATATTATTACCAAGGGAAGAAAGGGGAAGGATCGAAAGGGGTACTCTGTATGGCACAGTGTGCACAGGAAGCGTCCTTTCGCGGAAGGAAGCTCGGCGAACGGACACTGACAGTCGTTTATGGCTGACGATGGGAAGGGACGAGCGTTCTAATTACAGGAAAATGCAAATACTCCGAACGGAACCGCCAAGTTGTAAACCGGCAATTACGAGTGCCAGTAGCAGTTTCTTACACGTTGCATATGGAAGTCGGCAACGCGTTATTGCTCCGCCAACCAGTATTACCGCGTTCCTTCCTCCGGCCAATCCGAGGAAGCTCCTAGCATAACTAAACACTTCTTCTCCTGAACAATGACCTTTGAGCAGGCTACTTCTCCAGTGAGCAAGGACTTACCCACGAATTTAGCTTCGTTTCAAGGCCTGAGAGTCTCTCATGGACCCGAAACACCTATTTCCTGCCAACCAACGTCCATTCCCTAATCCCGCCAGTAGCAAAGTCAACAGGGTTACGAAAAGCGAAAGATGTTTGACAGATGACAGAGACTAGAGGATGGAGAATCGCTGGACGGATATCTTTGGATGAATTAGCTTACCTCGCAAGTGGTAGCAAAGGTAGCCAGCGGATTGCGAACGACGCACGCGTCCCTGTGAGCAAACGAGGCGAGAAAACGGGTGCGTCTTCGGACGAAGAAGGCCAGAGAGCTCGGGATCGATCGACGAGGTGGAAGAAACGCGGTCGTGCCATCGGCCGCGAGCATTTTTCGGGGCCCGTGACGCGGCGGCAACGCGGTTCTCACGTGTCTCTACCCCGCGCCGCCATCTTGCTCGTCCACCATGCGAGTCAGCCGCCCCACCACTGGCGTCGCCCCTCTTACTCCGTTCGCCAGGCCAAGTTTTTCGGATTGCCCGCGTGTCTCCGCCGTTGTACTCGCGACGAAGAATTCCCGATCTACCGACCCGACTCCTCGCGACCGGTCAAGTCGAGTGTGTCTCCGATTCGGTGGGACGTGAATTGCAAAACGTTGCGAGATTTTAATATCGCGCAGGGTGATTCAGTTTCGCATACGTCGGCTGGTGAGTCACGCTCCTTCTCCCAGCGTTATCGCGCTCCGCGCCATGCAGATTTCGGACGTCAAGCACCACGTGGCCATCTACGACGCGTATCTCGCCGATTCGCTCATCCGACCGGCTCCGGATTAACCGACGGATGCGGTAGACCGAGGTAGTACCGCGTTCCTCCACCTCGACCTTGATATCTCGACGACGCGTATCCTCGATGATGCAAAGGTCGGTCGAGGAGGAATCGCTCGGAGCTCGGGTTGGAGAAGCATAACCGTTTGAAATGGTAATTGGGAAGACGGGAAATGGCTCGGGAGAGGATTTCGATCGGCGTGGAAAAATTTTCGGGTGTGTCGGAGGCGACGCGGACGGTTAGGCGGCAACCGGAGTGACTCGTGCGTTCGAAAATAGAGGCGCCGCTTCGGTGGCACGCTCGAAGCCGCCGCCGCCGCGTTATCCGTCTTATCGCGCGAGCATTACGTAAGCCATGTCGCCCACGTCTTTCGCAGAAGGGGCTTCGTGCGCGGTCGACGCACGAAGGCTGAAAGACGAACGGAATAAGCCAGGAGAGGAGAAGGTGCGTCGGGGGAGCGGAGAAAGAAACGAAAGAAACGGAAGGAACCCGGTTATATTCGTGATACACGATCGAGTTTCAAAGCTTTCCACCTCCTCGTGACGAATGGCGGAATTTCGCGGCGCCTTGGGCCGCGTTCACGTGAACGCGATTTACTGCGCAGATTCCGAGTCACGCGGTTCTTCGTACCTACGTCGCGCACACGATAACTTTTCTTTCTCTCCGCTGCTGCCCTCGGACGTCGAACTTTCCTCATCCCCACTTTCCGCCACTCTAACCTCTTTCCATACGTATGACTTACGTTTTCGGCTCCTTTCCTCGTTACACGATCGTTGTCCTCGTCCTCGTCCTCGTCGTGTTTGGAATTCGGCACTAGCGCCACACGCTGCCACACATACACCACACTCCTGCCCTCTTGCTTCCCGCTCGGTACAACGCGCCTCGATCGGTTTACCGTGATTCCTAACCTCCAATGGTATATTCCTTTTCCCCATGCCTTCGCGCACTTCCAATTATTCCGTCCCGATTCTTCCGCACGAGTTATCATAGGGTAACCCCGGTCGCTGTCAAGTCCGTTCTTACCGGCTGAACAAATTTCCTTCGCTCCTCCGACACACTTCGATTGATCATTCCTTTGTTATCGTCCTGCCGTTCCTTCCCACGGGGGGATTCCGCGATAGAGTCTCTCTCCTTGTCCCGCGCACGATACGTCCGAGCATGATGCAACGGGTACACCCGATTCTCACCAGGCCGACGATTGGCGCGCTTCCCGTCGCGAAACGAGCAAACATACCGGTCGAGCGCGCACACGTTCCGTTGACCATCCGTTCGCGTGTGTCACACACTGTACCATGGACGATTCCCGTGCGGCAGTGGCGTCGTGGTCGCTGTCAATTTTCTTCGACTTGCCTCGGAATCGTGACGAAAGACGTGCCCGAACGCGACAAACAACTCGGTCGGGGAGCGAGAAAGTGTGCGTAGAACGCACGAGCGTCGTCCTCTGGCGTGTGTATGTGCGAGGAAACATGTCCCGACTCGCGTGCGCAGAAGCAAAGCGCACACGCGAGAGACGCAGTTTAAGCCTAAGGAGAGAGCGGCGGCGGCACGGCGGTTCTCTGGCTCTCGTATACTACACACTGGGTGGCCCGGGTTAGCGTACGGCGCAGTTAAAATGGCCGCGAGTAGCGTGTTGTTTTCTCTCTCTCTCTCTCTCTCTCTCTCTTTCTCTCTCTTGCTTCGCTCGTCGTACTCTCCCGTCGTCTTTTTTCCTTTTCCGTTGGCGGCTCGTTCCTCGCTGGCACACACGCGGCCGCGGCATCGTCGTCGCGACGTATATTCTGGCGTAACCGTAAATCCGCGTGAAATCGAGAACGTGCCCGCGAGGTCGGTCGTTGGCGATCTCCTCGGCGTGGTGAACGAGAAGAAAGAAAGACGCGACGAGAGCGGACAAACACCCCGATTCGCGATGACACTTAGAGCAGCAGGCGCGCGCGAAGATCCGCGTGGGACTGTGCGCGCTAGCGTGAGTCGGACGCCGTGCACGTCGACACAACACACGGAACGAGATGCGACGCAAGAGCGCGCAGCGCCACGCTCGGCCGTCGCCGGAACTGCGAGGGTAAATAGCGCCCTGCTAAGGAGGGGAGGCAGCGAGTGGGGTGGGGGTACTGGGGGAGCAGGGAGTCGCGCGTACCGAGCAGTGTACGCGGCGGCGAGGGAGGGGGATGGGTCGGGGAACGGTGACGGGTAAGGGAGGAAGAAACCGAGGGAAAG